TGGCTCCGCTTCTGGTACGGCCACTTCTACGGGGTCGAGCAAGAGAAGATTCTGGTAAAAATTTAGAAGGGCTGTATGCTGTGTTCTTTCCAAAGCCGCCTGCAAAGGCAAGAAGTAAATCCTCACGGGCCCCAGTACCTAATAAGATGGAAGGGATGGCGTTGCTGTAATTAATAAAGTGGGCTACTTTGTTTAGCATAATGCGCTGTTAATGATTCCAAGGAGGATTAACGCATAATGACAAGGTAGTACATTAATCGATGATGATATGTAAGGATACGCGAGTTCTTCTTATATACATATATATACACGTCTCTTAACCAAATCTCAAAAGAAGTTCACTATGTACCGTGAATAATCTATAGACACTGGATCCGTATGCGCCGATCACCCCTGGTATCCAAAACTGTCGTGATTACATCGTTATGCAATTGCTGCTCGTAGTAGTGGCCACATCTGCTTCAAGTCCTTGACGACCTGAAATCTGAGTCATACAGCTTAATCGGATTCGGACAATGTCCATGACGAATCGCCTCTATGGTGTCTCTGACTTCGTGACAAAGCAGGCTCAATCGCAAGAAGTAAGACCCGGATGTGCCGGATCAGCGTATTTGATACCCTCCGTTTCACTCCGAGGCAGGTCCAGACTTATCCTCCTTCCTTCTTCTTTTGTCTGTTGCCACGCCTTCAATCCTGCCTGATCAAGGACAGGTACCTCTCTAGACTTTCGCCCATCACGTTGATGAAGGGCCACTGGGTGTTTCGCCGGAAAAGGCGGGCCCACAGTTTGATGACTGCATATCCCAGGCTTCGTGGATCCTGATTTGGTGGTGTCTCCCCATCTTCTAGGTCCATTGAAGCATAGGCTTCTTCGACTATGCAACGTGTCCAATGCAGGATTCGACTCTCATTTTCTACATTGAAAGTTAGCAAGTTAGCAACTGACAAGAGTATCCGGAAAGTGTCGCCTCATACCACTTAGAGATGTTTGATTTCCTGCCTCTGCTAGAGACAGTAGCCATTTGCTTAGGAGGACCGCGCACTCTAGACTGGCAATAGAATGTCGGACACTCCAGAAGAAGGCTTGGCTCCGTGCAACATAGTCAATTCCCAGGCGTACAGGAATGCTTAATGCGTGCGCAGCATAGATCAGCGCAGGCGTCAGTCGATAGCTTCGTCCCGGCCGCGGTGATCGATGTAGCGCCGCAGCAATGACGTACGGGTCTCGGGTCTCTAACTGGCGGTAGGGCCCTAAATTCAAAGAAAGGCGGACATAGGCCAAACCCAAAAGGGAGCTCGACGTGAATGGAATGGGACCATTTTCATTGTGGGGATTGAGACTTGACTCCGGTGCCTGCTGCCAGACAGACGTCCAGGAACGAAGTGCTCTCCTGTGTAATGGTCAGTTTGCCGTTGGGCGTGATATTTCAATTCAACGTATAGAGAGACTCACTCCAGCTTATTTAATTCCTCCGTCGGCAATGAAAAAGACTGGTCCCCATTCGGGATGGAAAGTTCGCTGACCAGATGAATGCGCTGTAGAAGGCCATGGAGTAGAATGTAGTTCCCTAACGGCGAAGGGATCGGATCTAACATGACAGGCGTTCGTGACTTCTGCAGAAGTAGGGCCAGTGCATCCTGGAAGAACAACTGCTGCGAGCCAACCTCCTTTTGTGCGGCCTCCCATTCACTAGCTGTGGCGGCTTTCCATTCCTGAGTGGAACAAGGCAAGCGCAAGTGTACCTCGCTACTTCGGAGCACTGGGTAGATATTGTACGCGATGCTGTGGACATGAACAAAGCAGAACGAGACAAGTCGAGTTCGGCGAACGGACTCATCCTCTGCCCACTCATGCCAATGCATAGGCGAATGCCTAGGAGTGACTGCGATGTTTTCAGTCAACCCAAATTCCCGCAAACACCTCACTAGTAAGTGCTGTAAACCAAAGGCTTCCTGAACTAGTTCGGGTCCTTCCCAACTTGCAAATCCCATCAGGACAAGCAGGGTGCGGATGTTTTCTATCTGCCTCCAAGCACTCCATCCAGGAGCATTGCCTAAAGGAAGAGGAATCGAAGAGGGCGCCTGTTGGTGAAACGTCCCCGGAACAGTGGAGAGCGGCATCTGGATGGCATTGCTGTACGACGCTCCAGTGGAGGGCTGCGCCTCTTTGGAGAGCCTGTGAAGTAAGATTGCTTTTGAGGCGTAGAAAAGTCTTTCGGCGTTCCGGTGCTCCAGCCGATACTGAGCACCCACAGTTAAGAAGGCTAATATCAACTCTGGCGCGCGTTCATTGATCCGTAGTGTGGGAAGGTGTATAAAAGGTAGGTGAGTATGAAAGCCATCAAAGAACGAGGTTAAGTATCTCGTCAGCGTGTGCCGCGACGGCAAAACAAAGTCAGGAATCAAGTGACGGAACTCCTCTAGAGAGGTTGCGAGCCGCAGTCTTTGTTCTTCAGTCACCTTAAGAGGCGAATAATTCGTTGCGGTCTGAGGGGGTTCTAAACTGTACGTCAGACACAACAGCTCCTTTCCAGCTACTCAGGCAACATACCATGATCGGATACCGTCCCGAGGCTCTGATCTCCTGGCGGTACCGAGGGTAGCCAAGATCTAAATGGCGAGTCATCGCGGGATCCCCTCCTCTGGCCTCGACGATTTGAGCTAAGCTGCTCTCTCGTTGCTCGGCCAGGATCGGGGACTTCGGCTGGAACTGCACTGTGAACCTGCGAGATCTCACCTTCGGTGGGAACCCATTCCGCCGGCAAGCCAATCGAGTCCAGGAAATGAGTGAAATCCTGGAAATGGTTCAGCTCTTCAGGAAGGTACGGCAATGGTTGCGCTAAGAGCAATTAGCAAACCAATGATTGATCAATATGACGGCCGATTGCCTACCAACGGGCTGATTGTCTCGATAGGCACCCGGGAGGAGTAGCTGTGCCGCTTGAAGAATGTCCGCATCATGAGCCACTGCTGGATGCGTCTCCAGGCCGGTATTGTTACCACGGTCGTGGAGCATGTTTTGCTCGCCTGTCAGGTACGATGCAGGATGGGCACCGGGCCATTGTCCTATAGTAGGGGTCACAGGCAGAGGAACCTCTGCCCGCGGCATAGGTTGTGCATCATGATGGTCTTCGGCAATATGGGATTCGGCCTGCTTGCCCACCTGAACACCCACTGGCTGAACCTGATCCTTGACTACCTGTTCAGGTTGAGAGCTAGGTGAAGCGAGGCCATTGTCTTGGTGCAAGATACGTGTGTGCCGCTTGAGGAGGTCACGACGTGTAAAAGCCGCCCCGCAGAAACAGACAAACGGCTTCTCTTTGGTATCTAAGCAGAGCCATCAGCAAGACATGTCTACAGTATAGTTGCCAATAGACAAAATAGCGAACGCTTATTGGAGATGCTTGGAGAGGTCCTTACGAGTACGGATATGCCGCTCAAGATGCTCCGTTCTCCTGAAGTTCCGACCGCAATGGACGCATACACGAGTCTTTGCTCCAACGCTCGAGCGACGAGGGCCGCGTATGGGCTGCGACGACTGAGACAACATCAAGACATTTGGGGTGCATAACAATACAATTAATTCTGAGATTGATACTAAAGAAGGAAAGTCTCTCCACTTGGAGACGGCAAAGTTGAGCAAGTGGACTAGATGACTGCGCGTCTTTGGAGGTTGGACTCGGAGAGGAAAAGTGCGACCGGGGAAGAGTCGAGGGGAATGGGAATAGAATACAGTACTCCGTACCGTCAGTACGTAACTGACCCCAACGGCTGGGCGGGGTAGACAATACTCCGTAGATAATAGATAACCAAAATGACCCCAACAGATAGATACGTATGCTCTTCCTTACCCCGCTCACACGATAAGCATCATCATTTCATCTAGCAGGATACTTGAGTTTGGTTGAGCGATTTCAACGCCATCGTCACAGCCAGGAAGACACTATCTCAGAAAATACAGCTATGGTGCGAGCGTATTCATTTCCCGGTGTTGCAGTCATCACAGGGGCCGGCGGAACAGGTACATTCTATCTACCTTGGACCTCGAGCAAGTCTTCAAAAAGGCAATCCCTTGTTACTGAGACTTTCCAGGGATCGGTGCAGCAGTTGCAAGAGCATTTGTCTCTGCAGGATGCCAGCGAGTAGCCATAACAGACATCAACGAATCATCTCTAGAAAAGACGCGAGACGCTATTTCCTCTCTTCACCCCAATATCCGTCTGGTAGTGAGAGCAGGGAATATGGCGGACGAGCAATTCGTCGAGGCCTTTATGAACGAAGTGGTGAGCACATTCGGTCGTCTCGATTATGCAGTGAACTGCGTCGGGATACTTGGGGACTCGGGCCGATCGACAGAGACAAGCACAGAGGACTTTGACCGTATCACCAGTATCAATTACAGGGGCTGCTGGCTGTCGTCCAGAGCAGAGTTGAAGCAGATGCTCAAACAAGATCCTCTACCGAGCCATGATCCGAGTCGTGAGCCGCAACGAGGGAGTATCGTCAACGTCGCCAGTCAGCTGGGGATTGTCTCGCGTCCTGGGGCCCGTAAGCGCTCCTGTGTCTCTTAGCTCTATGGATTAAGCTCTGCTAATACTATTTTTTGAAAAATAACAGCTGCATACTGCGCCTCCAAATCCGCCATTATCGGCATGACTCGAGCTGATGCAATAGATTATTCTGCGGACGGCATCCGTGTGAATTGTGTCTGTCCTGGGGTCATTGAGACCCCGATGACAACCGGCAATGAGGAGGTACATGCGCGGTTACAGCCTGCCGTCGATATTGCGCCGATGAAAAGAATGGGCAAGCCAGAAGAGGTGGCAGATGCGGTTCTCTTTCTATGCTCGACTTTTGCCTCCTTCGTGCAGGGCCATGCCTTGGTTGTTGATGGTGGTTATATTATCAACTAGATCTCGGCAAGGACGGAAGGCATAACGTACTTCACAAGTATTCCTAATAGCTTGTACGACAGATAGTGCAGAATGAATTGAGCGTATCTAGTTTAAACATTCATTGTAACAATTCTCCTTCCAGTTGAAATGGGTCTCCCATGCATGACCGGCTCGCAAGACTTTCGACTCCTGCCACAGTCCTCCTACAATCTGCATCCCGACCGGCAATTGGACGTTCGCATCGTCCCTGGCCGGGGCAAATCCAACAGGAATAGACATTGCCGGCTGGCCAGTTACGTCAAAGATCGCAGTATTTATCGTGAGACCCATGCTGGGCTTCACCGACTCCAACGGCAGGCCACGCTTCCCGTGCCTAGGTGCAACGACCGGAGTAGTAGGCATAATTACCACATCGTACTGCTCCAGGATCGTCTCGTAGAGATCTCGAAGCCTCCGGCCGATGTTCATGGTCTTGCCATAGAGATCTGGGAAGCGCGAGCTGAGGTACAACCCGTTGATGATGACGTTCTTCGTCGCGGGGAACGCTCTCTGATAGCTCTCGTTTGTCCACGGGAGTCTTGCACGCTCCATTTCGGTCAGATACAGGCCTCTTCTTCCGTGGGCATGTCCCAGGAGGTTCATGGAGCCTGCTATGCGCTGTTGGATTGTCCAGATGGCGGGCCCTTGCAAGTGCTCTGGGAGAGAGATCTCCTCAACTGTGGCACCGAGCTCTTTGAATCTCTGGGCGGCCATACCGACACACTCCCTGACTGCGGGATCGACAGCCGCGTGATCAAATCCTTCTTTCAACAGGGCAATCCTGAAGCCGTCGAGCCTCGTTGGTTCTGCGTGAAGTGTCCTAGAAAACGCTGTTGATCCAGGCTTGGGACTGCCGAGCGATCTGTCGTCTATTCCGTCGTAGCCACTGATAGCATCCAGACATAGGGCAATATCTTGCACATTTCGAGCCAGTGGTCCGGCATGGTCATTCACCGCATCGCCGCTTGAAATGCCGGTAAACGGAACCAGGCCATGTGTAGGCTTCAGACCAACGCCTGCGGAAGTATATCAGTGAGGCATTCAACTGTCTGATGTGGGGCAATCATACAGCCACATAGAGACGCAGGCACTCGGATACTCCCACCTTGATCACCACCTATTGTAATATCCACCAGGCCACCGGCCACCAGAGCCGCCCCGCCAGATGTGCTACCACCAGCAGAATAACCAGCCGCAAAAGGATTCTCGACTACACCCTGAGCACTAGTATAGGAGCCGGTGGAATGGCAAAAATTTTCGCACGTCGAGGTCCCCAGAATATCAGCGCCGGCATCCAGGAGTCGCGTAACAACCGTGGCATCGGTGATGGGTGTCCAAGACGGAATCACATCGCTGCCCAGGAGCTGAGGGACCCCAGCGACTGCAATGCAGTCTTTCAAACTGACCGTCTTTCCAGCCAGGGGACCTCCGTCAGCGTTACCCTTGATCAAAAACTTATGCGCCCACGCCTGACCAAAGACCTGCTCTTCCGGCGAGGGTCGCCGTATGTTTTGTCGGGGATAACGTGATAGATCCGGTACCGGCTGGTAATCTGGTAGCTTCGCGACGTCCTCTGCACAGTCATGGACGGCTGCCAGTAGAGTATGAAAATCATCCACTTCCTCGGGGTTGACTGAGAGGCCGAAATTATTCAGAAGGAGTTGCGCGTCCTCCTTCTTCACAGGGTTGTCTCTGCATGAGCATCGTAAGTTCCGTCCTTTTGAACCATCACGCTGAGACCGAACTTACGGGGAAATCGAGGTAAACAGGACTGACATGATGAGCCTCAGATATACACAACTTGGACGCGTGGAAGGGGTCTGCAACGTCTTGAAGAAAAGAATTGTTAAATAACTTCATTCTCGAGCTTTGCACTCAACAGCTACCATCGTGGAAGGATGGCAAGTACTCCAACTTGAAGACTCCAACTGCACAGACAAGCTCCCTTTATCATGCATGTTGGAGATGAGAGTTTTGGAGTCTGCTCCTTGTCACACCCCACTTCTAGGCTGGAGTTATCAATGATTAGTTAACGGCCGAATGAACATTACCATATCAAAGTAGTCATTGTAAGCTCCACTATCCTGGGGCTGAGGGGAACATCCCCATCTCCGCACAAGAAAAGTGCATGCCTGATAAGCGTCAAGTCCTGCCCTTTTAGCTACAGACTCAACCGAACATCCAAGACTGGCTTGTTGAAACCATTACACTATCTGGGAAAGCTTCTAATTGCAGCAATTTATATTCTTGGAGAGCCCTACCTTGTGGCTCTACGCCATCGATTTAGCATTCGTTATACTCTCTCATCTGCACCTCCAATAACAAAACCTTCTAACCTCGATACAAGCTCAAAATTGGAGAAATGGGCAAGAAGCGTGTTCTCGTCACTTATGGCGTCGATGTCGATGCAGTTGCCGGCTGGCTCGGTTCTTACGGAGGAGAAGACTCAACAAATGACATCAGCAGAGGTGATTCATGCAGTCAGAGCGGATTTACGGGTTCCTCATGGCTGACTTGGCCATGAACAGGTGTTTGGGCTGCCACTGTCGGCACGAGACGTCTTTTGAAATTCTTCGACAAGTACGGCATCAAAGCGACATGGTTCATCCCAGGCCACTCGTTAGAATCGTTCCCCGAAGACATGGCTGCTGTGCGCGACGCCGGCCATGAGATCGGTCTCCACGGATATTCGCATGAGAACCCGAAGGACATGACGATCGAGCAGCAGCGGGATGTCCTGGATAAAACCTACCGGATGTTGACTGAGTTCTGCGGAAAGCCGCCTCGCGGAAGCGTTGCCCCGTGGTAGGTTGCTCTCTTGTACGTTGCAAATATCTCCCTGCTGATACAGAGCCTAGGTGGGAAACGAGCAAAGAAGGGGCTCAATTGCTGCTCGACTACGGAATCGAGTACGATCACAGCATGAGCCACGAAGACTGCCAAGCGTACTACCTGCGAACAGGAGATTCCTGGACTAAGATCGACTACAGCAAGAAAGCAGAAGAGTGGATGAAGCCTCTGGTTCCTGGTCAGGAGACAGGCCTGGTGGAGATCCCTGCAAATTGGTACATCGACGACCTGCCTCCGATGATGTTCATCAAAGCAGCCTCGAACAGTCATGGATTCGTCAACCCCCGTGATGTGGAAGACATCTGGCGGGATCACTTTGACTACTTTTACCGGGAATATGATACATTCATTTTCCCCATCACAATCCATCCGGACGTTTCTGGGCGGCCACCTGTGCTTCTCATGCATGAGAGACTTATCGAGCATTTTAAAAAGCACGACGGAGTGGAATTCGTGACTATGGAGCAGGTCTGCGATATCTTCAAGAAGGAAAACCCAGCACCGGCAGGCGCGCTCATGCCAGTCGAACCGGGAGCCATTCTCAAGAAATAATTACGTAGAGTCGCTTACCTTAGTTATTCAATTGACAATTCTCCACATAGATAACAAGTGTCCCAGGGATTAACTTCAAGCGTGCTCGAGTACTAGCCCTGGATGGCTTGTCTCCAACACTCTCCAATACTCCAACTGCCAAAATAAAGCTGCAGATACTGAAAATACCCCAGATTCCAATACTAGTCTGACTAGCAGTTACGACTTGTAATCCTCAAAAGGATAGTTCTATCTTCCTTACCCCATCTCTTTCCGGCTGACCGTTACTCCAACTCTGGGGTTTAGCCTTTCCCATCTTCTTATCTTTTCTTCATGTGGAATGTGGATCAGCATGCTGAGACCGGTGAGTTTTATCACTGCCCTATGGGATACCATGATTGTAGGCTTGATATGGAAACCTTATCGCGTGTACTTGTCCCAGTTTGGTCATCCAAGTGAGCAGTATTGGCAACGATGGGGTATATAAAAATCCAACATCCACGATACAGATGGTGGAGCTCGATTCAGACCATCACTCTAACTGAGCTTCGACCATCATGTCAACTTCTCCTGCCGAGGTCAAAGGCCTCAAAATCTCGCCTGCTGAACCATCCGCAGACGATGTTGCGGTTTCCCAGTCCGAGAAGTACCAGTCCGGTGATGATAGCTTTGAGATCTTCAAGAAAGGAGAGGGCCAGGTGGACTTTCGCACTGTCGGTTGGCTTCAGGCCGCTGTTATCTTCCTGAAGGGTAGGTCATATCAGCTTTGACACAGTTGCATACCCTAACTAAACCCTATAGTGATCTTTGCTACCGGTATCCTCTCCATTCCCTCGGTCATGTATGACCTGGGTGCGTTCCCTGGAGCCGTCAACCTTGTAGGCTGGTGCGTCCTCAACGCCTATGGCGCTATTGTCCTGGGCAACTTCCGGAACTCATATCCCGGCTGTCATTCGATCGTGGACATGGTTCACCTAGCCGGAGGTCGTTGGGGTCCGCTCATGCGAGAGATCGTAGGCGTGATGTTCATCCTAGCCTATGTGATCGTTGCCTCCTCCGGCATCATCGGCGTCTCGGCCGCTTTCAATGCCCTGTCCCGACATGCAATGTGCACCGTGTACTGGTCTCTCGTCTCAACGGCAATCGTGGCCCTCTTTGCCAGCGTCCGCAAGTTCGCCCATGTCGGCTGGCTCACCTGGGTTGGGTTCTTCAGCGTCTTTGCTGCCGTGTTCATCATCGTGTAAGCTATCCTCCAGCACGCAGCCTCGCCAATTCACACAGCAGACTGGCAGACAAACTGACCAACTCTTGCAGAATCGGCGTCACAACCCGCGATCGACCCGCCGCAGCCCCCCAAACCGGGCCCTTCGATCTCGGCTTCCGCGCCATCGGCCATCCCACCTTCGCCGTAGGCATCACCGCCTCCGCAACGATCTTCTGCTCCAGCGCCGCAACCTCCGCCTTCCTCCCCGTCATCTCCGAGATGCGCAAACCAAGAGACTACCCCAAAGCCGTGTACCTGAGCATGAGCTTCGTGACAACCTCCTACCTCGCCTTCAGCCTGGTCATCTACGCCTGGTGCGGCAAGTGGATCGCCTCGCCCTCGCTCGGCAGCGCAGGCGAGACAGTCAAGCGCGTCGCGTACGGCATCGCCCTCCCCGGCCTCGTCGTCAGCGGCGCGCTGTACGTGCACGTCGGCGCAAAGTACCTCTTTGTGCGGATCCTGCGCCACTCGAAGCATCTCCAGGCGAACACCCTCGTCCACTGGGGGACCTGGCTGGGTTGCACTGTAACCCTGTCCGCCATCTCATTCATTCTGGCCAGCGCCATTCCCATCTTTACGTATGTCCTTGCGTTGGTGGGGAGTCTCTGCTATTCGCCGCTGGCGATCTGCTTGCCTGGGTGGCTGTGGCTTTATAGTCACCAGCACTACCGGCGGGGAAGCGTGGGCCGGCTCGTCATCTACGGTCTGCATGTGGGGATGATTCTACTGGGGATCTTTATGACTATCGGAGGCACGTATGGGGTAGTAGTCCAGATCATGGATGCTTACCGCAACGGACGGATTGATCAAGCGTTCTCGTGCGCGGATAATAGCGGTACAGTCTCGTAGTTCACGTTGTATTCTGCTTTCAGGAGTATTTCCAGGATATCCATTGCCCGATTATATGTTTCATGTTTTTATCTCTCTCATCTTCTAAACTGCAATCAACCCCATACGTCATGCAGACAAAACATGTAATCAATCACGCTGTCCCTAACACACCACCACGAAACTGCGAATCTCAGCCCTCTTGCCCTCAACATGGGGAGCCTGGCATCTCCTCGGACTATCCGCTGCAACAGTGCCAATCGACCTTTTACACTTTTCATCGCTGTACAGAACCACCTCGCAAGGCGGTTGACGCATCTCACTGATGTAGCCCAACGCACCACCATTCAAGATCTCATTCTCGCATTTTAGCGAGCCAGAGCCCGAGTAGACGGTATCTACTCCTGAGCAGCGGGTATTCTGATAGAGATGGAGGCGCCATCTAACAGGGTGGTTTGCAGGTGTAGGTGCTGGAGTGACTGAATTTGTGAGTAATCCAAGTCCGAAAGAGCCGAGCAGGAGGGTTTGAGCGTTGAGAAACATGTTGTCTTTAATATGAGTAAGAATGGGATACTTGAAGCGATATCAAACACCACAGCCCTGAAGAGGCTGAGTCAGGCCGCTCAAGTCCATGTTCTGATGGCTTACCTCCAGCCAAATGGCGGGACCTGTTAGTAGTATTGGGACGAACACGAGAAAGAGAGGATTGTCCTATGTTGTAAAATGGTTCAGCCCTTCTACAAAGCAAGTGAAAGAGTGAGTAAAAAGGATCATCAAGTTTTCATTGTCATTATGAAAATATCAAGCTAGGATATCTCGCTCGGACGTTAAGAAAGAGGGGTCGATGCTGTGATGTCAATTTCCATCATGAAAGAACCGTTTTCGGCGTAAAGGCATTATTTTGAGTTGTCCCGGTCCTGCGGTTGGATAACTGATTTTTGAGGCTGGGCTGACAATCTCCTTGTTCCATGGATCAGTCTTCTGCAAAATACCATTACCTAGTCATTTCGCCACTAAGACAGAACGAGCGACTTGAGATTTTGCGCGGCCGAGCAGCCTGAAACTAGATTTGGCCCGAATCACTGAGAAATTCTGAAAACTCCCGCTCAAGAGCACTCGGATCAAAGGGGGTAGATGGATCAAACGGCGCTGGGTCGGCTGGATTGCCGACATTGAGATAGTCAAGGACCTCGGAATATCTATGAAGATGGCCACAAATTAATCAAGTGTCAATGTAAACGGAACGCAAATACTGACATCATTATCTTCCAGGTCTCCTTTGGGAAGTCTGCGCTGTCGAATGACCAATCGAAAGGCCCTGAAGCTGCAGGCTCGTCGGTGGGATCATGATATGGAGCCAGGTAGGGATGTCTCAGAGCGTCTTGGGCGGAGATTCTCGTGTCGGGATCAATAACCAGCATCTTCTTGAGAAGGTCAATGGCTATAGAGGTGTGTGTCATTATCTGTGTCCAGCCATTCTTTTCATCTTCCGCAAAGGGTGTTTACCATCGAAATCAGTATCTTTCGGGACGACAGTCGATAAGTCTCGAGGCTCTCGTGACGGCAAAGATTTCACAAAGTTCACAGTCTAGATGCCGAATCAGTGGGGAGGGGAATCTTGGATTGGTGGGTTGAGTGCACTTACGTTCTTACTGGTGATCTTCTCAATCACCGCATCAGGAGGATTTCCAAGGACGTTTGTGATGAGGTGGAACTGGTGAACGTGGTCCTTCCCAGGAAAAAGTGGCTTACCCCGTAGCATCTCAGCAAGGATACAGCCCGCACTCCAAACGTCCACTTGAACTCCGTATCTCTGCCATGTTAGCATGATTTCTGGAGCGCGGTAGTATCTGGTTGCAACGTAGCCGGTCATCTGCGGCTCCTGCAGCCGGGCGAGACCGAAATCGCATATCTTCAAATCGCAGTTTTCGTTGATGAGAATGTTGGTTGGTTTCAGGTCACGGTGAATCACATTAGCGGAATGGATGTATTTCAGGCCTCGCTATTGACAGTCAGCAAGGCACGTTGGTGTCATCCTCAGCTTTGATGTTCATACTAGGATCTGGTAGATGAAGTATTGTGAGAATTTGCTGTCAAGAGGTTTGATGCTCAAAAGGCGTCCGAGGTCAGTCCCTAGAAGTTCTGTAGCTATGTAGCTAACCTGATATCAGTATACCAGCAAAAGGCATTTAAAAAACAAAGAAGGCGAAGATGCCACGAGAATAGTTGCCTACATGTCCTCCAAAGGAGATATGAAAATATCGCGCAGGCAAATGAGCTAGAATTCAGGGTCAATCTTCCTCTCAGCAACAGAATCAGGACGCCGTACATTCTCATGTCGAAGATACTTCAACAACCTGATTTCCCGATATGTACGCTTCGCCAGAGACGAGCTGTCAAAAGGCTTCATGATCTTCTTTAATGCAACTGGCTGCTGGGTTATCTGGTCGAAGGCCGAGCTAGTGGTGCACGCGTTATTAGTAACGAGACGCAGTTAGAAGTTTCAAGAGCCAGTAAGCAGCGGCAATGCCACCGCAGTAAGTACATACCAGACGAGGCCAAAAGACCCCATACCAATGGGCTGCGGGTTCACATATCTGGTCACAGTAGTTAGCTCGACGAACTTGATTTTCTCGGCGCTGTTGGTCCAAGACCAAGCGCAACGAGCTGAAAACAAACATGCCTCGTAGTGTATTCGAATTTCGTACCCAAGATCTCAGCACGGACAAACTCAGCCATGTGGATAGGGCCGAGCGGTCAGGTATTGTGACCTCTGTGACAATGGAAATCCGAAGCGAGTAATGATAGTCTGAATTTCATAATCTGATCGGAGTGAAGAGGCGGCAGGGAACCAGGTAATCAGCCGTCCAAAGAGGGGGTGTGGATGGTGCAGGTGTCTGAGTGACTATGTGGCTTGTTTACCGGATCGAGCCAGCCAGAAGATTCAGGAAAAGTACCTGAAAGGGCTGGGAGTCCGTAGCATGATTCTAGGAGGTAATAGCAGTGGTAAACGAAGTGACACAAACACATCCATGTTTGAGGAAAGTTCCGGAAACGCAACCGAGCTAGTGAAGATTAAGAAAGGGACAGGTGAGATTCTCGACTGTTCGATGCAGACCATATAGACTGGATAGAGAGATGGGGAGCGAATAATAATAGGTACCTAGGCAAGGGTAAGAACCGTAAAGTAGGTAGGTAAGTGGAGGGTGACGGACGATGGGGATAGCCTGGGCGTTGGATTTCAATTGGTGGGCTGAGATGCCAGGCATAAATTGAAGTGAGAAAATGAAAGGGGCACAAAAACATGGAAGACAGTCAGTAGGTGGGCCTAAGCAGTCGTAGTACTGTGTAAGTACCCAGCAAGCTCTGGCTGGTATCTGATCCAGAACAACAACCAACAGAAAAACAGCACCATTCTCAATCTGACTGCAGGATGGCCAGAGGACCGGGGATATATCATATCAACCGGACACGACGGATATCAGAAATAATCATTTGATCTGTTTACCCTCGGGTAGATAATAATATCTATTAGATAGATAGATACAGCACAGCTTCCAGTTCCATGATCAGTTCCTTTCCATAGAGTGGGTCAGAACCTTAAGGCTACCGTGGATTCCATCTCCAAGATTTACAGAGTAGGTTACCTACGAGTATCTATTACCTTTTACAGAAATTGAGCACCTGTGCAGTTGTTCTACCATACTTATTATTGTTGTGGGTTGTGGGTAGGGATGGTCGTCACATCTCCTCAAGTCCAGCCCTAAAGTATCTAGACCAAGTGATGGTCCTTAGTTTCTCTGCTCCTGAACCCTATAAGCCTTCTCTCACAACAATCTGAGGGATCACAGATGCCTTGGCAGGAAAGAAGAACTCTCAAAATCTTCGATGTTCCATATGATATTGCTGAAACTAAGCCTAGGCTGGATCTGCTCCATACTTCTTCCTTCTCCTCTACCCCAGCTGACTATCGTGCAACTCACGAGAATAGGTTCCCTCGAATTCCTGCCACAAGCACGATCAACTTGCACCGTTGACTTCGACAGATCAGTCGTCCAGCAGCGTCCCCTCTGGCACGGCCATCGGTATCCCAGCCTTTTTAGCAGAGACTGCAGATGCCTTCTTCTTTCCCTTATGACGCGTTGAGCTGGAATCGCTGGCCAGAATAACATTCTGCTTTTCTCTCTGCATCGTGGCCAAGCTTCTGGGGTTTGCTTTTCTAAGCAAGAGAATGTCTTGCTGCTTAGCTCCCCATTGCGCAAATTCTTGGTAGCCTCTGATTGCCTGTTTCTTTAGTTCCTCCTCCGTCGAAACCTTCGGTCGATCATCAATCGAAGACCCTGCCACATTTGCCGGTTCCACTTCTGATAAAACAGATGAACTCGACTCGCACTTGCAGAAACAGTCATGATTTTCTGAACAGGGTTTGTCGCAGACATGACCACAGAGCATTCGGAGGTTGCAACGCTGTTCGCACTGGACCAGATCATGGGAGAAGCTTGAAAGACACTGCGTCAGTGGGAGCTGCTCGGCGTGGAAACCGTCTGATGGCTCACCTGTGGCATTGAAGGGCACACTTATGTCCACAACTCAGTGGCTCCTCGCAGGGTTGTCGGCACCCACCATTCGTTTTCACCCAGTCCGCAGGCTCTTCAACACCCTGAGTCAGCATAAATTCTTGAGACCATTATCGTATGAACAGAGAGACCAACCTTGATTGAGGGTAGTGTTGCCGTGCTTCTGGCACGTCAAAGGCAGTTGGAATCCAATGCTTCGGCAAGGGCGCTCGTTGGCCATGATCGTGATCACTTTCCGCCAGAGGTCATCGGCAGAGTACAGGAGCTTTGCATTCCCGAAGATATAAAACCCATTCCTTGCTCTGGACAGGGCTACGCAGACTCTGTTCTGCACTGACAAAAACCCGATTCCCTTTGCGTTTGAGCTTCTCACCAAGGACAGAATGACAATGCCATTCTCTTCTCCCTGGTATGAATCGACCGTGACGACCTTGACATACTGACCCTGGAGGTACGAATGATTCCTCATGAGCTTCAATATTTTCTTCCTCTGGCCATTGTAGAACGTCAAAACGGTTATGTTGTCGACCGAGACGCCGTTGAGCACAAGGTAAACAAAAAATCCCACGATCATTTCCGCCTCCATCACGTTGTATTTGGACGCCAGGCTGTCACTGCTCTCTGGCCAGCTATGCGAGAAGAAGAAAGATCGGACGTCGGCCATTCCCGGTACTTTCGGGCGCCGGAGGACACTCTGATGATCTTGCAGTTCCCCGTATATAGGTTCCAACAGGCGGCGAATTTCCGGCACCATACGCCGTTGGCGCCTCAAAGTAACGTACCCAATTCTGTTCTTCACAAGCCTTTCGAACATAGACACATCTAGATGGAAAGGTTCACCTTCAAGGTCTTGCACTGCGCAATGACCCTTGAGCTGTTGGTGGTCGCCCACGAGTATCATGTGCTGGACCGAGTCAAGACAGGCAACGGCTATCGGGGCCTCAATGACCTCGGCTGCTTCTTCGATCAGGATGGTCTTTGGTTTCACGCTGGAAATCAGGGCCCTATATTTGCTGAGGCCCGTCGCAGTCATACCAATGATCTTGGCCTTCCGGAGAATGAGGTGGTCTCTCTCCCACTTTCCAATCCGTAGATCTTCGCAATTCTTTGTGTAGGCAGCGACGAGCTCTCGGAATTGTTCCAAGAGCATCATCTTGAGCTGTCTCCGTAGCGCATCATAAACCGCACCACGTGCCTTGAGCGGGACCTTCCACATATCAGAGTGCCTCAGGTGGTCCAGACTGGCTGCCTCTGGAACACTGGAAGGAACCAATCCACACATCGCTTCGCGCAGAAAGATGAATTGTCCTCTCAGATTTTCGTAGTCGTCCTCTTCAATTCCTTGTTCTGCCTCGAGTTCTTTGAGCTGTTCATATTCAAGGTCTACCTCGTCTTCGTCAAAGCCGAAGTTCTCGGTCGTGTATGTTACCTGGAATTTGACCACTTGGTCTCCGAGCCATGCAATTAGAGGATCGGTATCTTCTTCAGCACAAGGACGGATCCAACCCTTAGCTCCCTTTGCAAGGGAATCGCATTGCTCTGCGCTCAGCAGCCCGTGCTTCGCAAAGAGCTTTGAAGATAGAGGTGTCCCATCGTCTTCTTGACTGAAAGCCTCCAGCAATTCCACGATTGTAGTCACCAGAGTCTTGTATTTCCTCATTGTCGGGCCATACATGCCGCCCTGGACTGTGATCGCCGGCTCATTTTGCCTGATAGCAAACAGAGTGCGCTTCTTGATTTCGGGGTCGTTGCTTCTCCCTCCTAAGCGAATATAGTCCTTCTCGAAAACCGAAATGTGTCGCAGAAGTTGATCCAAGGCGTGATTTGTTTGGGATGAAACTATGATAGGAGGATCATGAGGATGCATGTTAGACAACAGAATTTTCAACGCAACCACAGAAACGTGTGTCTTCCCGGTGCCTGGGGGGCCTTGGATGATCGCTAATTTTTTGGTAAGGATTTGCTTCAGAGCTGCCCACTGTGACTTGTCGAGATCACCTGTTGGCGATTCTGGCCAACCTTCCAAGAGGTTGATATTTTTCTCTTCGTCGGTGCGGCCAATAACTGACTCGATGGCCATATTAGGGGATTCTTTGACATAATCCGGGGCATCAACATCGGGATCCAGGCCGCATATGTGATCTGCTAGAGGAAACCTGATGCGGGATCAGCTAGTTCTGAGTTACTTTCCCTGTTAGGTTCACTGACCTTTCGTGGTTTAGTCTCTGGAGAGCAGTCATGGTATGTCTCATAGCTTCGTAGTAGCCTGTTCTCGCTTCTACCATAATCCATTCCTGATGAGGATCGAAATTAGCGTCCTCAGGCTGGGCAAAGAAGATATCAACCTCCGGAGGTTCTTGCTTGACTCCTTCCAGAGGTCTCGCAGCAACAACAGCAATGACACACTTGCATCGGAAAGAGTCGCTTGCAGGAGACAGTGCAACAACTGATCCAGCGATCAACCGCTTAGAATATTCCCAAACAATCTTCTTTCCGGATCGGTTAGTGGAGAATCGGATTCGGAATGCAATGCCCGTTTGGGCGAATGTGATGCCAGTGATGTAAACCTAAGCCAGATTCTGGTAAGCAGCTATTCGACTTTCCTAAGAATATGAAGCAAGAATGAAGACTGACTGACCTTCTCGTATATCGATACAGCTTGAGAGTCCACCATTTGCGGGTCATTACGGAAGTAAGCCACAGCATCTCGCAGTGGAGCAACAGCATCCTCTCGAAGGAGTTCATAGTGTGCCCTCAAGTAAGAGTCTTTCGAGCTCCAGGGACCATCTATCCTGTTAGGCATGAGCTCCACACAATCTTCGTCTGAAAATGACGGTAGAATCTCTTCAGCTGTTGGTATCTCCGGCTTTTGGAGCCAAGGGTCTTTCTGTCCATGATCCTGTTTGCGGCAATATTCTCTGATAGCTAGGTTGGCTTCGGTATTAGGACTAATGGACGACTTCGTCAAAGTCTCGGAAAGTCCTTCTGAGGAGTATGTAACATGTTCATCTTCTGAATCCATCTTGGTTATAGTCGTCGTGAGCCTTAAGGAGAATAGCCTGTGCAGGACAGGAATGAGTTGGATGATGAGTTTAAAGTGTAAGAGGAATTGCTATTCGGTGAGTTGAGGATTAAACAGTATTGGGTGCCAGCTGCAGAATA